CCGAGCAAAAAAAAAGCAACAAACAACATACAAACAAAACACAAAAAAACAAACAATCTGACAGACAAACAAACAGACCAAAAAAAAACAACAACAAACAAACAAAATATACAAAAAATACAACTCCTAACTGTGGATGGTTGGCGGTGGGTGCTATGGTGTGGTTTGCACCACCTTACCTATCAAACATCTATGGTCCTTATCTCTCCTTCTTGTTTTGTCCGTATGTTATTCTCTAGACTCTTGTAAGACTTCTAATCATTGGCACTTATCTTATATGACCTAATTATGTGGCAAAGTGCTGTAAATCGGCTCCTACTAAAACATAAAATTGGTAACCCCCCCCACACACACACACACACACAGGAACACACACTAATCCTCCTCAGCTCGGATACGAACCAAATCCTTTTTCCAAAGCCATAAATAAAGACAGATTTAGCTCAGCTGGCAGAAAGCTGGACTGTGCAGTGCGGGTCTCCCTGGTTCAAGTACCCAACAGGAAGTCCGTGAACTTCAGTCTGTCGTTTTTTTCTGTCTTTTTCTCTCCTTCTTTTTCTTTGTTTGTTACTCTCTTGTAACACCTTTTATCTTCGGCATTCATATGACCAGATTGTGTTGCAAGTGCCGTAAAACTCTTTCTAAAACAAACAAATACATATTGCACCCAAGGTCATGTTTCATAATAAAAATTCATATGATTGCTTTCAAAATCACGTAAAAGCCACTTCCAGTCCCCTCCAGGGTCAGTCATATCACACATTTCTCCTTCCTCACATATTATGTTTTACTTCTTCTCCTCTTCCTCCTCTCAATTTCCCTTCCTGCTTGGTTCTTTTTATCCTCCTCCATTTGAAAAAGTTGGTTTTTCTCAAACTGATCGATTGTCCTAGTTAACAATGACAAATTTGACGTCCCCTTGGTTCGCCCAAAGAGCTTCCCATACACATGTGTATGGTTCAGAAAATGACAACTTATATAACGCATTTTATTCCTTCTCTCATTCGTCCATCATGGTTCCAGCTTTGTCTAATTATCTTAAACTGCCCCGCTTCTAACAAGTGTAAGGGAACAAACCTTTTAAATCTTGTGTTGTTTGTACTTCAAAGGTATTTACCTCCCTTGCCTCAGAAAAAAAGGAAGGTCTTTGTACTTCTCGTTTCTCTGATTTGATTATTTCCTGGGTCACTCTGTTCTAATAATGTTAAGATGTAGGCCTAGGTTGTAATCATTTATTTTCTTGCATCTTCATATGTTATTTATATTCGGGCTTTTTATGTGCGTGTGTTTGTGTTTTTATTAATCTACTGCTTTTTTGTGCTGTTGTATTTTTTTATAATTAAAAATTATTA